AAAAAAAACACTTGGGCCATTTTGGCCTTGGGGCAGTTTGGCCTTGGAGGACTATGCGCCAAATGGTAAGGATTGCGTGATGTTGGTGAAGGAGCTTGTTAGCAGCGATTGCCTATCACAGCAGCCTCTGGTCATTCTTCCACATGACTACCTTCCCCGTCTTTGTCAACCCTTGGCAGGTATGCCCAGAACAGTTCTTGCTGATAGAGCCAGGAAGGAGTTGCCTGCCAATGGTTTGGTGTATCTTTCTTTCACCCTTTCCACTGGAAAAGGAAAGTCCCATTTAAAGGCCTACTGATCAGTGGTTTGCCATGAGTTGAAATGGCTAGGTCTCACCTGGCCATTCCGGTTTCCCATAGTACACTAACACATATGACATTACAATCTGACCCAAGGACAACTACCTGCTGCTCTTATGTTTGTGTCGTTTAGTTTGGACCCAATAGCCTAGGTTTCTGAAAACAGCTGCTGCTGTTGAAGCAGAGCCATGGAATCTTACCAGGGCTGCTGCGGCATTGAGAGACTGGGTGGATACTTGGCTGATCAACCCACTTGTTTTGGGCATCATTGCTATGAAATGGTGTTTTTTCCAACAATCAAACAAAACAGGATGATTTTTGATTTCATGTCACAACTTCCTGCCCAGGAGTCAAATGAAAAGCAAGACTGGCCAGAACCATCGTTGCCTAAGTGGAACTTCAGTGCATTGACCCGCTCGATTGGGCTTGCACCCAGCCCAGCTGGGTCACTAGTCTCAAATTATGTAAGCCCAGTAGGAAGTCTGATCTAATCGAATGGTGTCTTTCCTGTATGTGTTTGAACAAAACCACTACTGCAATGATATACATACACATTAATAGTCATATACCTGGATAGGTCTACATAATATATGACACTTGTGTGTGTAGCGTCCATGGGCTTTTACCTTTACCAAATTGTTGACATGAGCTGGATTGCCAAGCTGATCCTATTTGATGCCACCGCCTCCCTTGCAACCAGGTGGCAGAAATATGCGCCAGGCCCTGTTCGTGAAGTGCGGGTCACGCCACTTCCGTCGGCACCTGCCCGGGGCAAGGGGTCAGGGCCTTCAGGGAAAGGCCGAGGAAGGGGTCGTGGGCGAGGGAGGCCTCCCAAAAAACCCCAAGCCTGTGGTTGTTTCAAATGAGGATGAGCCTTTGGATTCAGAGGAAGTTGTGCCTGTGGCCCCGCGCGAGAAGCGTAAGGTAAATGCTTCCGGTCCAGTGGACCCAGAGAACTTGTCAGCTGGTGTGCTTTTTGATGGGCCTTCTGAGCAGGTCCCGGTGGTATTGCCGTCAGAAGAACATGAAACCAAGCCAGTGCTGCTTCCCCCCGAATGGTGGAGGTACAGATGCACCAACAGGGGCAGGTTGTTCTCGTTGCAGGTTTGCAGCCAAGGGTTGCAAGACCTGTTTGAATCCAAATTTCCGACCGAGAGGCCCGAGGGCAATTCCTAAAGCAAAGGCCAAAGCTAAGGCCAAAGCTAAGGCCAAATCCAGGGCAGCACTTCCAAAGGCAAAGGGGCGAGGGCGGGGACGTGGAAGAAAGCCTTCCCGTCGTGCAGCTTAAATGTTGCAGTATATTTTAGGAGGTGGACCTCCAGCCTTTTGTTCATTGAGAGACAGATCTCAATGAGGCGCTCTTTCGGATGCCTGGGGTTTGCTGTGCACGAATCCTAGGGTTGGCCTTGTTCATGAAAACTGTTGTTACAGTATTGATTGTCAATGCTGTTGGTTTGACAGTTTGGGAGAATCAAACCAATTGGTCCTGTGCCACCCTGGGTGTGACAGCTATCAAATGGAGAGCCATGCATTGCTCCCGTATGCAGACTGGGGTGTGGGGAAAGAATTGCATGCGCTAAAGGCATCTCTTTGTTTGCACTGGACATGTTTCTGAATTCTTACCACTAGTAGCCTACTGCTGGAAGCAATAGAAGACAAACCAATAGGAAGTTGAAGAAGCCTACCGAATCCTCAAAAAAGTATCCTGTTTTGGAGTATTTTTTTAATGCTGATGCTGCCTTTGGGATTGCTGCTTATTTTCTGTTCATTAGGTTGGTGCTAGTGGGGTGCCAGGTTCCTAGGAGCCTAGCCACTGAGCTGATGGCCCGGAAGTCTTCAAGCTCTTTGATCCTTCCACCTGATGATGTGGGGTCTGAGGCTTGCTTCCTACCACCAGGTGATGCTGGAGACCCAGGCCTTTTTCAGCCACCTCAGGAACCAAAGCCAAGGAATACAAACAAGGTGTCAGTGGCCAAAAAAACCAGCTGCGAAGACTGGTGCTAAGGCTAAGCCGGTGTTGAAGCGACCTGCTGCCAAGAATAAGGTTGAACCCAGTGCGCCTGTGTCTACTGAGGGGAACGAGGAGGACACTGCGTTTCCATGGAATGATGAGCGGTTATCAGATGCTGCTGCGAGGTTTGACTCTGTAGCTGTCATGCCATATGAGGACCTTCGTGAGCTACATGCAAACCCACCACAAATCCAGCCACAGCGCTGTTCACTATGGGAGATATACAGCTTACCCCGACTATCACCTATGATGAGAGAGATTGGGGGGAAGAAGTTTGCGAAGCTATGACCTGAAGCATTTTGTTGACCTTTCCCAAAAAGACTATGTGCGTTTACTTCTTCAGGATGTCGCCCTGTATAGACCATACTACTTGAGTCTATCACCGCCGTGCACGAAAGTACGCCAGCTACAAGCTAGCAACTGGAAGCGCATGAAGGGGACACGTAAGAAGTACATGGACCTTGAGGAGGCCCTGGGGCACATTGACTTAACTATGTGGCTAGCAACGTTCCAAGATGACACTGGATCCTACTATGGCTTCGAGCACCCCGAGAAAAGTCTAGCATGGAAGCGAGAGTCAGTGACTATGACTAAATGGAATAATACCTAGAATCTTTTGGGCCCTTGTTTCATGACAAATTCTCATGTCTGTCATATGGCCCAGAAGTGTTTCAAAGGCCTCTTTTGACATTTTTCTTTTGGGGGTTCAGGTGACCTGTGACAGTTGTGTTTTTGTTGGTTCCACCCATAGAAGTTGTCTCTCTACCCATGGGTTCTTGCCTTCTAAGGTTCAGAAGCTACTAGAACGTCCAGGAAACCAACTGGCCACCTTCGATCAGTGCCAATTTGGTTTGGTTTCCCCGTCGGGGAAGCCCATGCAGAAAAGAACCAAGTTCATGACAAATTTGGGCCCGCTCTTCAATGCCCTCAATGGGAAGTTCTGTGACCACTCCCACGAGCATGAGCTGATCCAGGGCAGTGAGAATGGTGTCAAGAGATCAGCATGGGCCCAGACATACCCTGATGGATTGGTGAGAACCATCTGCCACCGGGTCTTGGATTCCCAGCGAAGCATTGGGGTCTGACTTGACTTGGATTCCCTGTGGAGCTTAGCCAGTGGGCTGAAAAATGTTTTGCTGGCACGCTGCGATGTCCTTGGTTATTATCTTAGAGCTTTGGGTAACAAACAACAAGTCAGGTGGCGGGCAGCGTTCATACCACCAATGAGTTGCACGGCCCAACTAGCACTAAATTGAAAAGCAAAAGCTTGAGACTAACTCAAGGTCGACCTGTGATATGGGATGTAATTTAAATAGTAGGTTCAACACTGGACTGGTTGCAAAACCCTATACTATACAATCTCTTGGTCTTGTTTAGTGATCTCACCCCGACGCCACTTGTCCCAGATTTTTTGCTTCCCCTTGGCACCTTGCGCACAGGCTGCCAACTGGCCAATGTCGTGACCCCAATCCTGGGTGTTGGGCAAGCTTTGGCGGTGAACCATCCCAGGGTTTGAGGCTGGCGCTTCCCAAAGTGATGTGAAGCTGAATACCTGGTTGTAGTTTATATAATATGGGCCTATGACCATGTCCAAGGTTCATTTCAGC